CATTGCAGTAGCGTTTTCATTCACCGGATAACAACTCGAAACCTTCTCCCCACCTGGCTTCCAACACATACTGGCATCACAGATGCTTCACAAATGAAGCCAAGCAGCAAAGACAAGAAATCGGTTTGCAAGTTGTTGTGAAATCAACATAACTCGCTCAAGAGTGCATTAGTTAGACAACAAAAACACAGCAAAGCAACGTGCTGTGGGGTTACCACTTTTTGACTTCAGGCTTCAAGACACTTCTGGAACTCTCAACATCTCTCAACAAAAAACATGGAAAGACTGTAGAACGAGCATCTGTCCTGAACCATAGACGCCATCTCGGCAAGGCGATTCTCGTTGTCCAGGCGCACTGCACGAAGCTCATCAGCCTCTGCATGCAGCTTCTGCGCTTCAGCGCGGAAATCGTCTCGCTCCTGCAAGAAAAACAACACAGTCAGTGCCAGGGCGCTAAACTTGACAGAACCTCAGAAACATCAAAAGGAAATAGCTGTTTGAGGTGCGCTGTGCTTAACAACCCCCAAAGGCCTTTCTTTAAGTGGCGCATGGACGTTTTACAAAAAGATATAGTATAGTAACATCAAGGATTTGACATGGCATCTCAAGTATTTCAAAACCATGGTATGAGTGAAGAAGGTCAGTTTCCAGGCAGGTGAAATGGCATCCTCCACCATTCTATCGGAATTAAAGTTGCGCTTTCACATCGTTCCTGCTTGTGATGCAAGTGATCTTACATGATTTGCTGAAGAACGGTCGACCTGGAATCAATTGGACCACAAGTTTGCTTACTGAGTGGTCTCCATCTTGTTTCTGTTGGTTCCTTTCTACTTTCCAAGGAGAAAACAAAGGATTGATACATACAATCAAGCAAATAGACTTCAGAAACAACCACACCACAGGCATGTCACGTACATGCTAGACACCCTCAAGCTGCTTTGTTGGATGTCCTTGGCTATCTTTGCCGAGCAATCCTTGTCTGCCTTCTGCCCCACTTTAAGCTGATCAATTTCCTGCCACGCCAGGCAGGCTCGAAACTTTCCTGGAGCCCTTGAGGTTCTCCCGTTGAACCAAAAGTAGAAATTAAATTTGTCGCAGTTCCAATCTGACTCCAGCATTTCAATTGGCCAACGGCGCCTTCACAAGATCCGCGGCTCGGGCTTGACATGTCTTCAGCGCTTGGAAGCCCACAAGCATGAAAACCTGCAAGTCGGGTGTAGGTGCAAAAGGTGCACGTGCAGAAGAAAACCGTCAATGTGTTTGGGTAGGGCATTGAGTAGGTGGGCATGGGCATGCGTGACACAAGCTCAGGGATAGATTTTGTCACTATATACGGTGTGCACCAACAACGGTTGAAGTGGAATTTGAGCAAGATAACGAGGTGCAAGGCTTGAGGTTCAAATCTCATGGTAGGAGAATGAAAGAAGCACATAGGACAACATGGTGCAAAATTGTGAAGAATACCCACTGCCTTGCAAGAAGCAAGCTGGACACTCTATGTTCTGAAAAAAGTTGTTCACATGTTTCAACAGCAGATGTTGGAGCTCTATAGGCCCACCTTCGCCAGGACAGGCATCTTTGGCCTGTGCGCTTCAAACCGTAGTCTTTCGGCTTCAAATCTGCAACCTTCCAGCTCCTGCCAATCAGGAATCAGGCATCATACTGCGCAAAATCTCACACTCGGATGTAATGTGTATACACACATATTTATTTATTTCAATTTATATAACTAACTATGTCTATATATATATATTACAGAATAGTCAAACGAGGTTGTACGCCTGCAACGTCTGGTTCTTGGAGCGATGCACACGTTCCTCATTGGGATCCAATTAAAGCTGGAACATGTTTATAGCGTAACCAATTGTTGATGTCCACGTGAGTTGGCCTCATGTGAAAAAACAAAGGAAGGTATGCAAGGACTCCGAATTTCTTGTCAAGAGAGCTAGAACAGGCCTGGAAAGGCCTGCTCATCTATCCCTTCCAAGTACGCACTGTTTTGATCACAGGAGTTCATGGTAAATTCGGCTGGTGACTTAATTTTGTGGCCGAAAAGTGGAAAAATCAGTAGAAGTGAGGAAATCTCAAAGCCTCTCCGCTTTGTTTCGATCCAAACAATTAGAACAAGCCGACATATCAACTGCTTTATTTCATCTTATTTCCTCCTCTTATGCCCCCAATGTCAACCCAGTCACCCTGAAGATCCCTGAAGCAATTCATGCGTTTAAACACCAACTTCAAGATGGTGCCTTGCTCAGGGAAGAGATTTGAGCTCGGCCCTGATCTTGCAACGCGCGTGAGCGTTCGATCTGGGCCACATAGCGATCCCGTTCCTGGCCGACAAGCCCATTGGTGCCGGAGGGACAAACACCGTGAGGTATGGTGAGTAGCTAGAATATGCAAAAATAGCTTGAATAGCAAAGCGTGGAGGATAAATGAGGGTAGGTTAGGTTATGTATTGCAGTATGTATGGTGAGATTGGTAGGTATGGTAACTTTAACTAGCTAAGTAAGGCTAAGCACCTCGAAAGCAGCGAAGTTAAGTACCGATGCGGGGCAAAGCGGCTCAACTAGTGTTTAAGGTTTTTAGAGAAACAAAGGGAAACTAGGCATCCTATGGCATCCTTATGCTTCTTTGTAAAGTCATTCTGAGCCGTCCTTGTACAGCTCCATGGTCTCTGCCAGCTGCGCTGCTTCAGCCTCTTGCAGCATGTTAGCTTCAGCCCTGCAGTCCTTCAGTTCCTGCTGGTGTGGGAGAATGTCAAAGGGCAGGGTGCAACAAAAAATCATAGGCAACAGTCGCACAAACAACAAACACCCTTTGCCCTGCTTTCATGGTTCCAAACCTTGCATGCAGGGTATTGTAGGTTCTATTCCCCAAGAATGTAATTACAGTACAGTGTTCGGATTAGTTCTGCAATGCTCTGGTCGCGTGCAGAAACCTGATCAGAGGTTGATACGTGTTGATACGGCTCAATGTTCCACTGACCCCAACAGGTGGAACTGAGACCTGCTCCGGTGGAAGTAATCGCTAGTCGAGTTGCAATCAAGGACCAAGGTAAAACATATGCTGCCTAGAGGCTATACTCGGCTTGACTTACTTCTACATTTGTTTCGGGTACTTAAAAGGGTGTGCTTTGCGGGAGCTCAACCAGTTCTTGGTCTTGGATGAGGATGCCTGTGAAGATGGTGTTGCAAAAGAGTCGATGGATCGCCTTTACAAGGCAATTGATGAAGATTCCAGCTCAAGCTCTTCGAGCTCATCAAGCGTAATTTCGGCATAGTTTTCCAGCTGTGGTGCACGCATGTGAATTCCTGGACACGCAATATGGATGATCATGTACAGGTATAAGAAGAAAAGGTCGAAGAAGGATACCAAGAGCAAGAAACAGAAGGAGGACAAAAAACAAGAGGAAAAACAAGCAAAAGAAAACCAAAACAAAACCAAAGAAGAAACTCACAGAGCAAAAGAAGAAAGAACACTAGTTGGCAAATATTAATATCTGTACACCCTGATGTTGACAACGTGGGTTCTGGCACCTGGTTCAAAGTTCAATTAGAACATGGTTTCTTGTGCTAAACGCCATTGAGACAATTTGTCTTCCGGACATCATCACGTTCCTTTCGCAAAAAGAACTCTACTGTAACTCAACTCCGACTGAACATACTGAACTTGCAATGAGCCGGACTTTACAATTCTTATGTAATTGCACCGTATTCACAGGGTCATATTCTGCAAATGCACAAGCCTGGGACACTTGTGACACCTCTGCCAGCTGCAGCGCTTCTTTAATGCGCATTTGCTCGATACGGTCTTCTAGCTCCTCGCCGCCAGCGGTCGGCTACATCGGGATATCATGTGTTTATGGTGAAACGAAAAAGTTCCGAGTCATTTCCAAAAAAACATTGGTGGGCAGTGCGCCAACTTTGTGGATCAAAATGCATTTCTGAGCCGAATCGTTGCCACCTTTTGTATAATATAAGTACTTATGGCGGCGTGATTCTACATAATTTTGAGCAGTGTGGCTTCAAACCACCGTAAACGTTTTGGCACTTCCGGCAAAAACGCTCATTTGCGACAGCCTTGGCACGCTGAGACAATTCTGCCTCATGCTTCACTTTGGCTACAAACTGTTGATCCACTTCTGCTTTGAACTCCTCTAGCTCCTGTAGCAACCAATGAGAGACCGAACCCTGTCTGACCCTCAAAACCCTGAGCAGTGGTCAAAGCAGTTGGTTGAAAGACACATGATGACAAAAGGCACACAGTGCGAATATGTGCGAATAATTGCTTTGAACTTCGCTTTGATTGTGTGTGAAAGCCCACACAATTTTTCTGGGCAAGACTTGTTTTCAAATAAACATGGGTTGGGACGGGCAAATGGTAGTCTAGTTTGTGGGGGATCCTGTCTGTCAAATCGTTTTACCACGCATCAGCCGACTTAGCAAGGATGGCCAGGGCTCGACTTTGCAAAGCCTTCTTCAAATTGGCTTCAATGATGGAATCAACTGCAATATATGCATACCTCCAACTCTGTGAAACAGTTGACATAGATCACTCACATCAACAGATGCCAGCAACCACGCCACTCTCGATTCCTTGCGCGTCAAACCCACGGATCCATTTGATAAAGCCGCCGAGCCCCCAATGAGGCCCCCAAGAATTCGCTACCCACCAATAGTCCTTCAGGCAGCTTTCTTGCAGATTAACATACATAGGGGCGGGCTTTGATGAACAATAAACTTTGGCCTTGATAGACTTTCCTGGTGATTTCCCATGTTGACTCGTTTTGGATTCTCGTTGGCTTCCTACGGCTTAGTATCAAATACCATCCGAAAGAGAATCTACAGTTGCAGAAAACCCAAGGAGGATTCAATGGACAGCGGGACCGCACTAATCACTAAGGCCGCAGTGGGTGGGAACTCGACTCTATCTCGACATCAAATGCTTTATATATACACAGTACTATATTTATTGCAAAACACCTTAAAGCTCCGTCGATCACTCAGACCGATTCAATCAGTCCTTTCCAGCTTCGACTCCCCACCCAACAATGCGCATCACGTGGCCACCGCAAACTCGGCCCGAGGGTACGTACACTCCACCAGTGTAGTCCTTCATGGAGCAAGTAGCTAGCACTTGGCAACTGACGGGTCCTCGTGCCATGATCTCCTCTTGGATCTTCTTCCGTGGGACTTTGTACCAACTTGTAGCTTTGACTTTGTTATGCAAATATGGTGTTTTGAAGGGATGGTCACATTGGCTGAAAGGAGCAGGTGTTTTGAAATTTGTCTGGCATTCCGGCTGCCCTGCGTAGGCTGGACTATTACAAGGAGGAAAGGGATATGGTGCGCATGTGGACCCAGGATGCTTGTCTGCCTTCACAAATCCAGCTCCGCTCACAGCGCCCGCTTCTACATACCACTTCCAAACAAATTCCAATTGGCCCCCAAAGCAACCACCTTGAACTGGCTTCACACAGGTGGGCAGCGAAGAGCCTTCGATCGTGCTGTTGCAATTCGCAAGTGGGTCATCAGCTGAGAGGATGGTCTTGGTGTCACCTTTGAGAATGCAAAGGCGATCGTTGAAAGTTGAAACGCTTCCCACTGCCCAGCAAGATCCGCAATTGCTCTGATCGCGAATGTGATTTACCACGTGCTTGCAGTGTGGCCAGGCTTCGCGAGCGTCAAATTCTACGGGCAGTTTGCCGCCAAATAGAGGAATCTCTGGCATAGCCGCACCCTCCAAGCCTTGAGGCGTCATGCTCAGGTGTTACAATGCGAAACACAATTATCTATTTTTGAATGTAAACTACATGTCTATAAAATATCGAGATCCGGGATGGTTCTTGGCCAAACTGTCAAACATACAAAAAGTTATGCCATTGTTTTCGGTCCAAGTCCAGCCCATTGGCTAAAGGGGTTGAGTTGTTCCTAACATGACACGCGGCGGCCATACGAATAATGTGTTGCAAACATGACTGCGCCAGTTTTCTTAACTCCACTGCAATTCGGGACATTTCCGGTGCCGGTCACTGGAGTCACGCGTAAATTTGCAGCACTGCAGGCAAAAAACGCTGGTAGTCAGAATCTCCGGGAACGATGCCACCAAAGTGCCACTTCTCAAGCCCTTTTTGGAGTTGCAGGAGTGCTGCTGTTTCGGCTTCACAGGCATCACCTTCACATGTAACTTGGGCCCGGGCCACAGCAAACCAAAGCCACCAAATGAGTGGCAGAAACATTTTCCGACGGAGGTTCAGTCGCACTCAAGTGCTCGAGCCCAATGGCCACTCGTTCGGAACCCATTGACACCTTGCCACTAATCAATCACACTTGTGGTCAGCAAGGCAGGCACGACTCATCCTGCCCTGAATCCAAATTACATGTTCTGCTTGATAATTTTCAGCTACAGTACATTACAAACCAATGTTGTCATGATAAAGGTCACAATATTCCGAACAACGAGGCCAATACAAAAACATCCATGTGGCATGTAGTGAGACATCCAAGTTCCGAATCAAGTTCTCTTTCACTTACTAAATGTATTGTCACGATCCTCCAAACCAAGAACGCGTGGCACATGGTCTGAAAAATCATGGAAAATCACACTTGAAAATCCATTGCGCGTTGCCATCCTCACAGCACATCGAAAAACACTTTGATGGGAACTTCAATCCCAGCCGAACTCTTCAACGTCAGTTTTGCACTGCACTTCTTTCATCAAATGTTTAACGCCCCAAAGAACAAACAGACCTGACCAAACCTGACGGCTAGGGTGTCACTGGCGCACGGAAAAGTCACCTCACTTGCTCGCGCGGGGTCGACAGTCGAACACGCTTATTTAAGTACGAGGGGACCACGCCCAAATCCTCACTTGCGCGCGCAAAATTGCCCTCACTTGCGCACGCAGACACGCGCAGACATGTTGCTGCACTTTCTCCTCTGAATTTTCCACTTGTGTGGCCCACAATGACAAAAGTATGCACCGTTGGACTGGCACCTTCCTCCTCCAAATTTTTCTCGGGTGGCTCACAAAAGGTATGCGCTGTTGGAATTGCACCTTCCTCCTCTAAATTTTCCCTCAGGTGGCTCACAAAAGGCATGCACCGTTGCAATGGCACCTTCCTCCTCTAAAGCTTACCCTCGGGTTTAAGCTTTTCCTTGGAGAGCGTCTCCCTACACGCATGTGAAATAGAGGCAAGTTCTGGGAGCTAGTTCCGGAGCAGGTTCCCGGGGAGGTGGTCCGGAGCAAGTGCCGGAGCAGGTTCCTGAGCAGGTTCCGCAGCAGATTCCCTAGCAGGTTTCGGGAAAGGGTTCCAGAGCTGGTTCTGGGGCCAATTCCGGAGCAGATTCCCCGGCTTAACGTCTGGGGCAACTTCGACGAAGTTGGTCAGGCTGTTTTGCTGACATATTGTCATGCTGGCATTTGAGTGCACCCGGGCGCACACTCCTCAAGGGGCCTCTCATCCTTCCAACTTGCGCGTGTACAAGCGAGGAGTTTTCCACGTGCACAAGCGAGGCGACTTCTGCGTGCGCAAGCGCGTGCCACGCCAATCCTGACTATATATTATATATTGTATATATTATAAGAATGTTATCTCTGACCTGCATGCCGACCCACCAGTCGCCTTAGCAATCTGGGACATCTCTGCCAGGCGCATT